CCTTCCCCTTGAACTGGAAGGCATATCGACATTCAGATCGAAAAAGCTCGCAGTCGAATGCCTTCCCCTGGAGCTTGAAGCCATCGTGTCAAATGGAAACTGCACAGATTATTTTGTCGATGGCATCTCCATATTAAGGTCAAAGGGATTTGCAGATGAATGCATTCCCCTTGAACTGAACGCGATGTTGCCATACGGATTGTTCGTCGACCCACCTCGGTACATATCTTAAGGAGTTGCGGATGAATGTCTCCCCATTATGGCATTAAAATCATTACACATTACTGTCGTTGGGCTGTCAACTTGATCAACTTGTTCAGTCAGCCCATAGTGAGAGCTTAATGATAGACCCCGAACAGCACGCACTTGAATAAAATTTGCATACATCTCAATATCAACGTCTGAATAATTACTTTGAGCTTCAACCATCATTTCAACATCATCATTGTTCAAAAGTTCGAACGCTGTATAAGTTAATTGCAACAATGATGTTGGAAATCTGTATTGCAACGACGACATTCTTCTACTACTTCCAACATGAATCTTCCTCGAAATCTTCGTTATCAGCTCCTCAAGAGTTATGTTTCTCTTCAATGATATTTTAACACGCTCATTTGATACGAAAACAACGCCGGTTTCATCTTCTCGAATTTCACCATCATAATAAACAATACCTGAAAGTCGCGCTATTCTTTGAGTTTAAAAGTGTGACAATATTATATCTGCAAAAAAAAAACTGAAACAATGTTGATTAAATAAATAATATATGAACGAAAATATAACACAATAAATTTTTTACACATAAACGTAAATAATTTAAATAATATAATTTTATATTATTACCTGTACCGCAAAACTATTTCGAAGTATATTCTCGCTTTCTAATTTTACAAACACAGAAATTAATTGACAACAATTAGTATAATATTTTTTCAAATAATCATAATAAACAATAAGTATAATAAAAAAATTTATCACAAAATTACCTTGTAACGAAAAATCGCACGAACTTCTGAATCAAATATGAGAAGATTGTCGGATTGTTGTATTAATTTTTTTCTAATCGAGAGGAGATGTGAGGAGTTACCCCGAGGGAAGGGTATTTATAGCCAGGAAAAGCTACAAGACGCGGTACCTGCACCGCGCCTTACATAATTATATTAGATAAAGCTAAGGCGCGTCCCCTGTTCCACGCCTAATATAATTGTGTTAAAAGTAAGGCGCGACCCCTGCCCTGCGCTATACTCCTAGGTGGCCTAAGGCGCGTCCCTGGGGCCGCGCTTTATACACGTGTATATCATGTCAGCATAAGGCGCGCTTCAGGGGAGCGCCTTACCACACGTGGCACCAAATCAGTGTAAAGCGCGTTGCAGGGATCGCGCCTTTCTGCAAAGGGTGTTAAATCCGGAAATATAGTCTGAACGATGCCTGATCGAAAAATATACTGTTCAACTATGTTTAACTTTTTTACATCAAAATGATTGAGAATTTACCTCTAAACTCAAAAACAAAAATATTTGATTTCTTTTGTCAACTTAAACTGGGTAACAAGAAAGATTAATTAATTGAGTTAATTGTGTTATATGCTTTCAACTTATTATTTTTATTCTAAATTAGTTTTTAATTTTGTAAATATTTCAATTTAATCTTCAAATTATGACTATCATTCTAAAATAGTCTCTAATCTTTTAAATCTTTCAATTTCATCTCAAAATTCATCCAAATTCGTAATTAATTCCAACCTTAGTTAAACCTGAATTTTATTTTCAAAAATGTATTATTGTAGTTTGGACTAACGATTTTATTACAGGAGATGTGATTAACATATGCCTTTGGAATGAAATTAAAATATTCCAAAATTTGGAGACCAATTTAGAATAATGGTCATAGTTTGTGGATGAAATTGAAATATTCAAAATTTTTAGAATTAACTTAGAACAAGTCATAATTTGAAAAATAAAATTAGAATATTCAAAAGTTTAGAAACTAAATTAGAATAAAAGTCATAATTTACATATATTAGATGCAAATGACTCTAATTAACTTAAACAAATTATTTTATATTATATATATATATATATTAAGATTTATTGGGAGCGCACAATGGACTTCCATGTGCATATAATTATTTTTTAAGTACACAATTAGAAAAGAAAATAATAAAAAAACTTATAATATATATTTTTATTACAGGTAGGTGATTCGATTTTTTTAAAAAAAATTGAAATTTTATATTGTATTTATTAGGAAAAAAAATCAAAAGAGTGATTCAAGCTTATTATAATTTTAAGTTTGCCTAATCCCATTCAAGCCACATCTTTCTCTTAGACCATTTCTTCTAAACGTATGCAGGCTTTAACTATTAATATTAGAGACGAAATCAGGATACCAACTTAAAGAAACGAAGCATAACTTCATCCTTAATTAATAAAACAATAAAAGAACATTATCCCCAAGACGAAGCATAACTTCATCCTTAATTAATATCTCCAAAAGTTATTCTAAAAATATTAAATTAAAAAGGCTATAATTTATTTAAAGTTACTAAAATTGAATTGTTACGTCAAATTCAATCAAACACTTGAATAAAACGAGAAAGGAAGGTTTTAGACATGTTTCTCCCGTGTGAACTTTTGTGGTGGGCATTGCAATATTAAATCGATAGGACAATAATTGCTGTCCAAGGGATGGCCACCCAAATGTTGATATTTATCCATTTATTATTTCAGTCACGTTTTACTTCACGTCAAATGAAAATAATTCTATGTTATTTATTGAAATACGTGCATTGATGCCTTTTAAAATTGCAATTATGAACCGGCTCTTTTTCGAAGAGTACGGGATCTGTTATGAACCGGCTCTTCGTACATAGTTAATTATTTTATGAACTCAAATAACCTTAAATGATAAAATAAAATATTATTTTTAAAGATATTGAATTCTAAAAGATATATTTACAAGACGTGTAGTACTTGAAGAAAATTTAAAAAGGTTATTACTTTAATAATTTTTTTGAACCAACCTAACTTTTTGAGATCTATATGCTAGTAAGTATCGAAAACATATTCTCATCATTTTCGTCACCAAAAATCTCGTTTTTCCTTTAATTTTGAATTTTTGTGTGATAATTTTAAATTTTTTATTTTATTTTTTTAACATACCGAATTTAAAGCTTTAATTTTTGTATAAGAAATTTATAAAATTTTATTTTGATCCCTATAATTTTAGTTTCCTTTTAGTATGATATTCGTGATGCAAAAAATAAATCACAATGGAATAAAAGTTCCCGAAAACTGCCATTGTCTGAATATATTGATAACATATGATGAAGATTTCGATCTAAATTTTTTGCTCACATAACACACGACGATTTATCTCTGATTTACGTATATTTCACTTCAAATATCTATGTAATTTTCACAAAATATTTTATAAAAAAGTCGTTTTTCTACACCTTGAAAGGTGCATAACTCAAGTCAACTAATAATATTTTTGACAATTGTTGACTGGGATGAAAGACGCCGTTGATAGGTCACACTTTTATGGTATATGAAAAAAATGTGTTATATCAGTAAATAATTTTTGAAATGTACTATATTTATAAATAGTGATAAATTTAGGTAATAAAGTCGAAGATACACATTAAAAAAATCATGTTAGAGATCAACTAATTAATCGAGTGATTAATGATATTTATATTGTCTTACCTTATGTTATTCGAATCTCAACATTTGTCTAAATGTAATACTTTTCTACTTAATAAAAAAATCATGTCAAATATTAATGATATTTTGATTAAATACACTAAAGTTGAAGTAGTTGATTATTTTTTTACAATCACGGATATCTAATTTATTAGTTAATTAATTTAAATTAAATATTATAAATATTCATTATTTAAACAACCTATAATCTAATCCACTCTATTTAAAACGTAAAAAATTAAAATTTGTAGATTTTTAGTCTAAATTCCATTTCATTTCAATTGTTTCCATGTAAAAGTCTATCAATTTTATTTTATAATTATGATTGTACTTCTAATTTTTTTTAAAAAAAATTACGGTCAATTTTTGAATCTATCCTTACATTTTTTTCTAATTAGTGGGATATAAAATTATTTATCAAAAAAATCAGGGAGTACGGCGCAGTTATTTCTCGATCAGTCGGCCACAAAACATGATCAAAAATTAAAATAGAGCAGTTCGATTGCAATTAAATTGACGAGTGAGGAGCAAACTCCGTCACGTGTTTTCACACGTGTCAACCTATCAGACCAGAGAAAATCACCACTAAGTGGTGTCTGTGAAGTTAAAGCCCCAGAGCACGTGTTGAACTTACGGGTTTATCCGGTTACCTTACCGTTTTTTACCGGTAATCTTCACACTTGTCTAAATAGTAGAATTCAAATTATAGTACTCAAACGAATAGACTAATAATTAAATATATTCAGATATAGATTACATAATTTAAAATTAAATTTTATTTATGTGATATATATATATAAATATTAATTATAAATTGGTTTAATAAGTAAGATTTAAAACATTCGCATAACATAATAATTTAAATTAAGATATTGTGAAAAAGAATAAGATTAAAGAATTTTTCTCGTGATAAAAACTTTAATATTTAAATTTAAATTAATTAATTAATTAGAAATTAAATAATTGTATAAAAACAATTATAAAAGAACTTATATATATCAAATTTTAAAACCTTATTAATATAATATATTTAAATATAGAATTAATGAATTATATACGATATCTACAAAATCGAAATAGATATTAAAATGATATTTACAAATAATTAATACTAATACTGGATATCCACTCCACTTCAACGAAAACGATATCTTAAAATAAAAAATGCATTTTTAAAAAGATAATAAATAAATAAATAAATAACTCTTTAAAGGACGTGATGGATGGGAAGATTTATGCTATAAAACAACTGTCTTTCTTTGCCTTAATTATTTTTTTCCCACCAGAAGGAAAGCATTTTGGCTTCAGTTTTTATTTTTTCATGTTTGGTGGAGGAAAGAAAAAAAAAAAAGAGTGAAGAGGGGATTCGTAGGAATTGAAATATTTTTGTTTACGTAGGTGTTGGGTTGATTATTGAGGTGAGTTTTGCTTGAATTTTGAAATAACTGAGTCAAAGAACAATGGAGAGAGATTTTCTGGGTTTGCATTCAAAGGAACCATTGGTTGTGGTTAAGGAAGAGGTTAACACTGATGGGTACAAAGGTGCGTATGCTCTTCTTTTCTCTTTTGTTTTCCTGGAAATCCTTTAAAAGATTGCTTATTTTATTTTATTTTATTTTGAGGTTCTAAAATCTGGGTTATTGTTGAATTTGGAGTTGAATTATGATATTTTAGTGCAAAAGCTAAAGGGTTTAAGTGAATTGATTTTCCCCTTTTCTAAATGAATGGTGTTTGTTAGTAGAAGTGTTTGTCTAATCCAAATTATTTATTTCTTAGTTTGGATTACTATGATAAAAATCCTTTATTCTTTTAAATCTATTACTTGATTGGAATCATGTAAGCAATTGAATGGAAAAAAGAAGAGCAAGAAGATATATTTGGTTACTGATAATTGTTAGAAAATCATATCAGTTTATTTAGTTATGAGAATTGTGCCTGTTATAGCTATGCATCTATCTAATTTATTGGTGTTTTATTCATTTTTGTTTTGGATTTTTTAGGTTTTACTAAAAGCTCAGGGATACAATGGCCTTTTTCAAACAAGATTTCTGCTGTTCCACAGCTGATGAACTTTGATTTTGCTCAAGGGGATAAAACTAAAAAGGTCGGATATGATCCGAAAGTATCCCCTATGTTCATGCCTACCTCAACAATGGATTCTACTGAACTTCAGGTTTGACACTATCCCCTTGTTTTCATTGGTGTTAGAAAGCTTTTTTATTTTATCGGTTTGCGATGTCTCGAACTGATATTGTTTTCGCTTCCCCCTTTGGCTTTTTGCAATCTAGAAATCATTCAACCACAGTAGGATAGGTGGGAGTCATTTTCCATTGACACCTTCTTATGTTCAACAAGATGGTAAGATGTTTCTGGTCTCAAACCGTGCACCGTTTATGAAGAATCATTATGCTTCCACCGGTCAAAATTTGCCTGTTAATAGCATGAGACCACAATTGCTTGGAGGGATTCCGGTGACAACTCCACATACGATTCTTCCCACACTTGGTTCTGTTGGTGGAAGTGTTGAACCATGGTAAAGTTGAAAATCTTATCCTTTAGTTCAGTTACTGCAGCAATATTGTTGACAGTAAGATACTGACTTGGTCCTAATTTCATTTTTTATGATTAGGAAAAGCGTCAAGGCCTCTGGATCTTCTGCTCAATTGACGATCTTTTATGCTGGTGAAGTGAATGTCTTTGATGATATTACCCCTGAGAAGGTATCCCTCTTTCTTTCCATTTTAGTAAAAATGCTTTGTTTTTAACGATCTTTAAGTCGGTAGAAAGCTTAGAAAGTTAACCCCCTTTTTTCGTATCTCATACAGGCTCAGGCTATAATGTTCTTGGCTGGGAATGGGTCTTCCATGGCTTCTAGTTCGGCTTATCCAAAAGACCAAGTCCAGACACCTGTTTTGAAGCCAGTTCGAGTTGAAAGTGTTCCCACTAACCAGATCATAAATACACAACTAAATTCTGGTATGTCGAGCCCTCATGCTGTTGCTGCTCAGTCTGGGACTGGGTCCACTAGTACCGAAGATCAGATGATATGCAAGACCTCAGGAACTCCAACTCCATCTACCCCTATTAGCAAATTGGAGGCTACGAAATTGGTGAATGCCATGGGATCTGCTACTGCCACTGGCATGATGCCTTCCGGTATACACACGCTCTTACAAGATTTTCTGTTATTGCATGCATATTTTTAATTAATTTTGTTTGTAGTTTGGAACGTGGCATCAATTAATTTCGTTTATAACTGACTGTGAATTGTTTTTTGCCTCCAGTTCCACAGGCTCGCAAAGCTTCCTTGGCTCGGTTTTTGGAGAAGCGCAAGGAAAGGTTAGTTTTTATTCAAGGTTATTTGTGGGGTTTAAGGCATGTGGATAGGCTAGTTTACTTTGTTATAAACCGCAAAAATGATTGCTATATCAATTGCATATGCAATTATGGTTAAATACATGTCTGATATTGCGCTTGAACAAATCTCCGTTATTCGCCGTCGTCGTAGGGTAATGAATGCAGCATCGCCATACAATTTTAGCAAGATGTCTATAGATTATGCAACTACGTTAGAATTGAACGCATGAGCTTGGCCGCGAGCAACGACGACTTCTCTCTCGGCAACCAAGTAGGGTAAACTGCAAGGTTTATGATTCGGAATTACAAGGCAAAGTTTATATCAAGTCTGGCATTAAAGAAGTGTAATATTGACTGCTTAATTGCCATCAACTAAAGTTTATTCGGTAGTTGGTGTAGGGTTATATTATAGACCTTTTGTTTTTCTTTATAATGTTAATGTGGATGTTTTAGCTACTTTGTAACCCCATTCAATTGTTGTTACATGGTAGAAATAATGCATTTAAGACCCATCTTTTGCTTGCTTCATTTGTACTTCTCTTTATATACATTTGATTCGAATAACTGTGTTTTTAGTATGGAAACGATCGATAATAGCATCTGTGCCATATACACATTATAATATATGCAGATCTACAGTACATAGATGTATTCTCTTTTTGTAATTTATAAAATAAATTAAATATTTGTAGAAATTAAGAATTTTGGTGGTTTGAGATGAAGCTAGAAACATATGACGTTCCAGTCACGTTTTGACAATCTATGTGACGTGTATCTTTCAATTATTTAATAATTTATTTGGTTGACGGTCCATTGGGCCCACACCAAGTGGTGGTGGTGAACATAATCTTAGGAATTGCTTTTTTCCTCCTCAATGCTTTAATTATTTGTATGTAAATTCTTATGTTTGATCTCCTTTTACACTTGAGGGATTAATTCGCAAAACGTAAAAACTATTGCTCCTCTTTGGATCAAGATGATTATCTCTATACCGTAATAAGAAATTACGGAAGTTTAATACCACCTACTTTACCTACTTTTATACTTGTAAAGCGACATTTACTGCGACAAATTTATTTTATTTTTAATAATTATAATTTATTCTGATAATCTTCCTCTAATACGTTTCGTGTAAATCCTGATAATCTAGCCCTTATCTACAAACATAATTATTTCATAATGTCATGATAACTGTTGCTCTGCATGAGGGGGCAACACTTGTAACCATATGTCTACGTTTTTTTATGAGTTGGGCTTCCGTTTAAGAATTGATTTGAATTTGTTCACGGAATGGTCCGTTGTAGTATTTAATGAATACTATTAGAATTGGGCTAGGGTACTTGCCCCCAAAATAAAGGTGCCACCATTTGGATTTGGAGCCTACATAATTTATTTTTAAATTATATTTTAGTATATTTAAATTTATAATAACTAAAAATAAATTTTAAAAAAATATAAATTAATTTATTAAAATTATAAAAAATGTAAAAAGAAAACAATCAAAACATTTCTTTCATCTCTACTTTCTCTTCATCACCCAAACCCAAAACAAAAATCAAAACTCCAATTATCCCTTATTTACGTACATTTTGTGTGTGTGGAAATATGTAATTTTAAACAGTGATGCACTCGTTAATAAATATATTTAAGAAAATAACAAAATTAATAAAAGAGAAGATCTGTGGGAATATGACCGTTGAATTCAATCTGACATGCCATGTCATCAACAAAACAGTATTACTCCTCGTAGACCGTGACTCTACTTTGCATTCGGAAAATAACAGCACGAACACACAATCTAAAAATAAATATAAATAAATTGCAGGATAAATATGCTCTCCTGTGATAGGCCTCAGATGCTTACAATGCACTACTTTTGAACCTTGACCGTTTGATTTCTGATACAACCTCTGATCAATATACATGGTGGTTTGTAGGCTAGTAAACTACTAAACTAAAAGCCCCTACTTCCTTACAACTAAACTAAAGCTAAAAGCCCCACTAGAGCCTTGCTGTTCCAGTTCAGCACTTGTTTTATGTATCTGCTTCCAAAGCCTGGGGTTGTTCTGTTTTTTGGTGGGTGTCTGGTTTCTTTTTGAGGTTGAAGTTTAGAGCTTTGTATTAGTGTTCAAAGATTGAAGCTTTCCCTCCGATGGCTATTTTCTTGATGCTTTTGCTTTTGCTTGTCTCGACTGTTTCTGGTGATGAAAGTAAGTCTATTTGAAGTTGTATTTGTTTTCATATATTTGTGTGCGACCATGTTTGTCTTCGCGGGCACTTTTCTCTGTTCTCTTTTTAGTTTCCATTAATTTTCTTGAAGGTAAGCCTTTTCTCATTGTTGGAAACTCTTCTGTTCTTTCACCATGGGAATCTCAGCTAGTAATGCATTATCCTATAGGACCCAAATGACCTCACGGAAGGCCTCCAACTCCAAGTGTTGGAAGCTGTTGCCCTGTTGGTGTTGATATCTTAGGGGAATGTGTATTGTGTAGTGTATATGAGGGTAGTATTGTCATCTTTTATGTGCAAAGTTAACATCTTTGTCTAGTTGGTCCCGTATATAATATGTAGGGTCCCATCACCTCCATGAGTATTTTCTTGTAATGAAATAATATAGTAAAATGTGTTATCAGTTCATGTGCTTTGGTATTATTATGATGGATGATGCTATGTCATGTCTGATGTTTGGTTCCTTTAGTTGTATGGTGTGATATGTTACCCACCTTTGACCTACTTTGATTTAATATTCAAAAGTTTGCTCCAAATTCAACATTTTTGCTTCTGTCTACTAAGAGGAAAGAAAGGGACGACTCGAAAATGACTAGGTAACCTTCGAATCAAAGCTTATTGCTGAAGATAATATAGGATTGTCTGAGAGATTATATCGTTCGAATGTCTATTTGAAGTTTGGAATTTACTTTGAACTTTATGTAGAAGCCTTTAAGACACTGCTCGAATATGATGAAGTATTAGCCTTCTAAAAGCTGCAATGACTGGATGATAGTTGATCACTATGAAATTTAACATCTATTTATGAATATGATCATGTTAATGATATTATGAACAGTATATTTTTCACTGACATTGTTATTCTCTTATCGAGATGGAAGACCTTTCTTTTTCGTGGATAACTTGTCTTAACGTCAGTCTATGGATCTCCCTGTGCAGAAGCCTTTGTCGGTGTGAACATTGGTACAGACCTTTCCGACGTGCCCAGCCCTACTCAAGTGGTGGCCTTTCTCAAATCTCAGAATGTCCGGCATGTGAGGCTTTATGATGCTGATCGAGCTATGCTTCTCGCACTTGCTAACACAGGCATCCAAGTGATTGTCTCTGTCCCCAATGAGCTGCTCCTTGGTATTGGTCAATCGAATGCCAGTGCAGCCAATTGGGTGGCTCGCAATGTTATAGCCCATGTCCCTGCCACTAACATCACGGCAATAGCTGTTGGATCCGAAGTCCTAACTACACTCCCGAATGCCGCTCCAGTCCTTGTTTCTGCCTTGAAGTTCATCCACTCTGCCCTTGTTGCTTCTAATCTCGACAGTCAAATCAAAGTCTCTACTCCACATTCGTCTTCGATTATCCTGGACTCTTTTCCACCTTCTCAAGCCTTTTTTAACCGTTCATGGGATCCTGTCATGGTTCCATTGCTACAGTTTTTGCAGTCTACGAGGTCGTACCTTATGCTCAACGTATATCCATATTATGATTACATGCAATCAGATGGCGTTATCCCATTAGACTATGCACTTTTCCGTTCTCTCCCTCCGAACAAAGAAGCCGTGGATGCTAACACACTCCTGCATTACACTAACGTCTTTGATGCTATTGTTGATGCAGCATACTTTTCGATGTCTTATTTAAACATCACCAACGTTCCGATTGTAGTAACCGAGTCTGGTTGGCCTTCTAAGGGTGATTCATCAGAGCCCGATGCTACAGTTGAAAATGCTAATACATACAACAGTAACTTGATCAAGCATGTAATTAACAACACTGGGACTCCTAAACATCCGGGGATTGTGGTTAGTACTTACATTTATGAACTTTACAATGAGGATTTGAGACCTGGGCCGGCCTCAGAACAGAATTGGGGGCTATTTGATGCCAACGGAGTACCAGTTTATACTTTACACTTGACTGGTGCTGGTACTGTTTTTGCAAATGACACTACGAACCAAACCTTTTGTGTCGCGAAAGTGGGTGCCGATCCGAATATGTTGCAAGCAGCTCTTGATTGGGCTTGTGGACCAGGGAAAGTTAATTGTTCACCTTTGTTGCAGGGGCAACCGTGTTATGAACCCAATAATGTGGTTTCCCATTCGACTTATGCTTTCAATGCATATTTCCAGCGGATGGGGAAGTCTATCGGAACCTGTGATTTCAAGGGGGTGGCTACCATCTCTTCAACTGATCCAAGTATGTGGCTATAATATTTGTTCTTATAGAATAAGTCTACCGGAACCTATCAACTTACTAATGTTGTCCATTGGTGCAGGTCACGGTTCATGCGTATTTCTCGGAAGGTATGGATTGATTCTCCTAATCATTATCATCATATGTGATGGCTTTGATGCAATCTGATAATACTTCCATTTTGTCTGTAGTTTCAGGAAAAACGGCACCATAACTAACGACACATCACTGGTTCCTTCATCGAATAACACGAGTTCAGGCTGCACTCCACAATATTTCTATGTGAGTGATTCACTTACAACCTCTGTGATTATAGGCGCCTGTGTTTTCCTTTTCACTGCTGTTTTCTTGTAGTACTTGTTTGTACTTTATTCTAGGTTTTAACAGCATTCAAATATATCGAAAAAAAATTCGGATTCCATCTCTGTGGAATACTTGCAGCAAATCCGATTTTGTATCTCCTATAGGAGTTGAGTTGAAGGGTGTCCGATTTAACTGAACATATCGATAGCAAGTAATTCTTTAGACGAGTTAGTTCATTATCATTGGATTATTGTACAAAAATTCCAAGAGATTGTTTCCAGATAATTGATTTGAAAGTGTTCATTGATGTTATTCATTGTGAGTCGCTAAATGCATATATTTCATGCTCAAATAATATGTATATTTCTTCGGGTTCGGGTTAGGGACTGTGTGGTAACTCGGCTCTTGGATAGATTTATTCAAGATCATCGTATTTATCATGACAAACACTGCAAACCCACCCGATTGAACCGTCCGAAATTATCTTCATGTTGTCATGTTGATTACAACACGGTTTATTACAGAAATTACATTTGGAAAGCTGAATCCAACAATCCGGACAAAGAGTATCAGCACAAACAGTCTCTTCGAAGTCTTCATTTTCAACACACTTCCCACATTCTTCACACCTCGGAACGCATAACACGCACATCCGACAACCGGTCATTGAAGCGTCTCGTTTCCTTTTGCAATCCTTTCTGGGACAATCGAAAACAACCTGTACTTAATTGCACCCTGCCATGTTCTTCGCATCCTTGAAATCTTCTGTAGTTATGATATAGCAAAGGCTGTCTCGTTGGATGAATCTGCTGCAGTTTTGGGTTTGTTTGAAGGTAATATTGAATCCTTTCGAGATGTTCTTTCTTCATGTTGGCGATGCCGTTTATCTGAATGCTTTTTAGGCCTTGCTGGCTGTCAGATAACTTCTGCACTGCTGTTATCACTCCATTAGGGGTCAACCCAGTGCAACCTGGTATATGCAGCTGAAGCAACAAATAGAAAAACAACTAATTATATGTTAATCATCAAGAGTTGAGTTAGGTCGTTTTGACCCACACATGTACAAGATAAAAGGGAAAATAATCCCCGCCATTGAAATCTTATCCATTTAAAGGATCAAATTTCATACCTTACTGATAAGAGGATTTTGGTCGATGACCCTTTCAAGCCCATCATCTGTAATTTTGGCACAGCACATGAAAGTCAATGTTTTTAGCCTACCATTTACCTTGGAAGCAATTTTCATCAGAATCTCATCTGACAACCGAAAGTTCAACGGCTTTCGACGATTATGTTTAGCCATGGCAGTACATCCTTTTCCACTGCTTCTCTCAGTGACCTGCAAACTCCACTCATGGAAAGAAGCTCAAATAATGGAAGGTAGGCCAAGACAATAAAAAACGCATCATGGGGTAACCCTGAAGAAATGGATTCCTCATGTGATAGGGGTGCAAGTTCCATGGTTTCTGCAATCTCAATTTCAGTTTGGTGAAAGATCTGCTTCGATTTATATAGAAACTGTTATCCTTAACAAAGAAGTAATCAAAATGAAGATGTTGACAGGAAGGGATTCAATTGTAATAAGTCGGCACAAGTTTGTCGACATATGTTATCCATTTAGCTTTCTTGTCCTCTAAGGATTTGCTTTGCTCCATAGATATCTTTTACATGTTAGTTAACATCTGTTGGGTTCTCTGGTAAGAGCAAGAAAATGACAGAACCTATCATTCATTTATACTTAGCAAATACAACATGAATGTTTAAGAATCAAGGACAGACATGTTTATCAGTTCTGCACTCTGTAGTTGTACTAGTAACTTCAAAATGGAATTTGTTACCAACACAAGGTGTAGAACACACGAATCTGTCCGAATCATCGACCGTCTAAGGGCTCGACGGCGGTCTTGAAGAGAATGATGTAAACCTTGTCGTTCGAAAATACAAGAAACCTCCTAGTGAATATGTGACGTATGACCCGAAACTAGTCCCCACGATGCAGTGCCAAGCAGGACCGTATGTTGAGTCGAATTCCTGAGAATCAGAGATCACGCAAACTAGCATGACATAAACAGTAGGTGATCAAATTCTATGAAAACATAAAGCATGACAATAAAGAATCAAAGTTGCATCTTCTTGCAGTTGGAATAAGTGGTTAAGCAATGGGGTTTAAATCAACATAAAACACTTGAATTCATATAAGCATTTACAAGCAGGATAACAAATTTAATCCGGTACAAAAAGACAGAGTAAAGAGCAAACCAAAAAGGAATAAATCATAAATGTCTTCAGTTAAACTGAAACTAATAAAGGCAAATTTTGGCTTGGATAACTAGAAAAAGAAAACTTCTCATCCAAATCTCACTAGGATCATTAATATCTATAACTCCTATGAACCAAAGTAGAGCTAATTTATCCAACATGTAAATGTTAAAACTGTGTCAACTAAAACAATCGAATAAGAAATATAAAGTAACCGAAAAGAAGAATCTAGCAAAGGATCACTGTAACAGGAAGATGAAAGTTTGAATTTTTAACCTTCTTAAGGGCAAGAGCTAGGCGTTTACTATCAAGCTTTCCAGTCATATAGTCAAGCTGGTCTCGGGCACATTTAAAAGCCTTGTTTAGAAGAGCTAAAGGCATATCAGAAGCTCTGACTTTAACATTAAGACGTTCAGTTTGCTCCTGTTGTTCCATAGATTTCTTCTTTTGAATCAAACTGCTCAAGAACTTGCTTCTCCTCTGTAACTCCAACTCCGCTCCATCCATTTTTCCTATTCTTCTTTTTCTTTCTTCAATTTCCCGATAATATAAGAAATACCCAGAAAAAGTAAAAGATCAATGAAGGTGAACAGAAAACAAAAAAAAAAATTCTCGATAGGCACAGCTATGCGTGCCACTCGTTTGATGAAAAGCCTTAAAGGTGACAAAAGAGAGGTAAATGTATTAAAAGAACAAAGCTATACACGTTATAGAAATACAGCTATGTAATATATTTGGGTTTTTAAAAAACTTTGGGCTTGGGGGTGATTATGCTGTGCGGCATTTAAAAAGAGGGCTAAATATCGACGTGACCGATTAAAGAGTCGACTGATTAAAATTTAGATCGGTTATGTTATATTATTTAACTGGAAATATTATTAAGCACAATAACATATTAGGTAGCGTTTATATAATGTAATAGGTAACGCTTATATAATAAAATAGGCATTTAACCGGTATATTTATACTGGTAGCATTGTAAATTTACCTATTGCATTATAATTATTGGTTTCGTTGTTTATTGAATTGATACAATTTTAAATGTATCGACACTTTATGCTTGCACCTCGTTGGACATTCCTAATTCATTCTAGAAAAAAGTATCGACACAAGCTATAAAAGTGTCGATACATTATTTAGACATATTTTCTCATAAAACCGGTATATTTATACCGGGTACATTATAAATTAACCTATAACATTGTAATTTTCGTTTCGATGTTTTTGGGATCGATACAATTTTAAATGTATCTACACCTCGTTGGGCATTCATTATGGACAAAATGTATCGACACAAATTACACAATCGATACTTTATTCTGACCTATTTTCTCATAAAACCGATAAATTTAAACCGGTTACATTGTAAATTGACCTATTACATTATAATTATCGGTTTCGATGTTTTTGTGATCAATACAATTTTAAATATATCGACACTTTATGCGTGAACCTGTTTGTGCTTTCTTTTGGAAAAAAGTATCGATACAAACTTAAAAAGTATCGATACTTTATGTTGACATATTTTATAATTAACCGATATATGTATACTGGTTACATTGTTAATTTAAATATTACATTATAATTATTTGTTTCGATGTTTTTAGGATCGATACTTTTTGAAAATGTATCGACACATATTCTTACATATGTATCGAAACAAATCTTTGTGTTTACTAATTTTGTCATTAAAAAATTATATTTTTACCACCTACATTGTAAATTTACCTATTACTTTAAAGTTATTGAATGTTGTAGTTATTGTACATACCTGAATATGTCCTGTAAATTTAATGTTGTACCCACCCTCCAACTACCACTACCAATATCACATCCTATTGAAAGCACCACTGAAAACATGTTGTTCAATAAACCTTTACTTACACCTCCATCAACTCCTGTTGGGACCACTGAAATTGCACAACAAAATTTTTGTCATGGATCATACTGATGCAGACAATGTTAAGCTAACCGATGAATGCCATGAAGTACATAATGTTGATGAATCTGACATATTGGTTGGTAAGCTCTTCTCTTCACGTAATCAATCTTGGTACTTTTACAAGGAATTCACATAAGAACATGGGTTTAGTGCACGTCGGGGAACAACACGGCTTGACATGGAAGGGAATGTGAAGACATAAGAATTTTATTGTTCGAAAGAAGGGTTTCGAGAATCAAAAGTCAATATCGTTGATCGTCAACGTGCTCATACGCCAATCACAAGAACAAGATGCAAGGCTAGAGTCATAGTTATAATAACAAATACAAACGATCAGTGGGTTATAAGTAAGTCTTATCAGAAACATAATCATGCATTGTGCACACCTACTATGACACCATTTATACGTTCTAATAGAGCTGTAAGTAAGGCTGATATTGATGAGGCAACAGCATTGAAAGAGGTCGGTGTTGGCACGTCACAAGTAATGAACTATTTAACGCAGCAGGCATGGGGCTATCATAATGTTGGATTTACACATAAAGACCTCTACAATGCACTTCAAATAGGTAAAGCAAAGGAAATCATCGATGGGGATATGAATGCGCTTATTGCTTACTTTGATTATAAGAAACATGATGATCCCGGTTTTTTGTGACATACTCGGTAGACGAATCAGGGGCGTTGCATAATCTTATTTGGTCGGATTCTACATCGAGATCAGATTGCATATGATTCGGTGATGTAATTACGTTCGACACAACATACAAAGATAATTTGTATGGTCGACCAATTATGCCTATTGTCGGTGTCAATCATCACCATAACACAATTGTGTTTGCTACTGCCATAATCGCTGACGAGACGTCCCAATCTTTCGAGTGGGTGCTACATAATTTTTTAGAAGCCATGATGAACAAATCGCCTATTTTAGTTGTCACCGATAGGGATAGGGCAATGCATAGGGTTATCAAATCTGTTATCCCTAATACTAAGCACAGATTATGTTCTTGGCATCTTTCTCGCAATGCACAAGCTAACATTGGTGACCCAAAATTTACAGCAGCCTTCTCAAAATGCATGGCTTCCTGGTGGACAACCGACAAATTTGATATTCAATGGCGTTCAGTTGTTTCAGAATTCAACGTCGAAAAGCATCCACGGGTGATTGAGAAGGGAAATACTCGGCACTTATGGGCACAAGCATATCTAACTGGTCATTTCTTTGCTAATATTCGCTCAACACAAAGGTACGAGTCTATGAATAATTCACTCGCAATTGCACTGAAACACAAGAAGACTTATTTAGATGTTGTTCGTGCAATTGAAGATGGAATTAGTAGAATGCGTCTGAACGAGTTGAAAGCGGATTACTTAAGTTCCTAGACGAAGCCCTTCTAGATCACAAAACTGGTTGAATTTGAAAGTCATGCTTCTGAAATTTTTACGCGCAAATCTTTTCATGCGTTCCAAGAAGAACTTCAACGGGAGACATTGTACCGGATTCAGGAAGAGATTCAGTCCTTATCAGATGAATGTCAATATTTTTATTTGAAAAAGTACAAAGAAAAAAAAATAGGACATTTGAAATTAGTTTTGATTCTCGTACGGAAACTCTAGATTGCTCATGCAGAAAATTTGAGACCGTTGGACTTCCATGTCGCCATCAACTTAACGTTTTGAAGCACTTGGATTACACATATTTGCCCGGGTCTTTGATTCAAAGTAGGTGGACTAAGGATGCGAAGGCTTTTGCACCCAGTTTTGTTGATTTGAATGTGCCTCAAGAAATAATACAAATGACAAGGTTTGCTTCTCTACGTGTAATAACAAGTATGTTATGCTACGCTGCATCAAAGACAGACGCGTCTTTCAAAACCGTAAGAGATGAGATGAAAAAACTAACAGAAGAATTTGAGAACTCGTTTGGTTTGAATGATTCAGTCAATCGAAGCAGTGTATTAAACAACGTTCGCGACCCTCAACGAAAATAACGCAAGCGAAAAGAAGTAACAAAGAACAAGGTCGAGAAGAAGATTAGGTGATGTGGGTTCTGCAACGGTGAGGGACATAACAAACTAACATGTCCTCAAGTCAAGCTGGGTTTGAATACATGCACGCAATATACTTCAATTGATTTTTTTGAAGACGAAATGAAATAGTTATGAACCTCCAGCACATGATGTTAGAGACATTTGGTTATAATTATGTTTTTCGATGTTTTTGGGATCGACAATTGTTATAAATGTATCGAAACTTTGTTGTGCACTTGGTTTTTAAAATATAGTCTAGACAAAAAAGTATCGAAACTTGATGTATTTGTGTCGATACTTCATGTATACATGTTTTCTCATAAACCGATACATTTAGACCGATTACATTGTTAATTTACCTATTACATTATAATTATAGTTTTCGATGTTTTTGGGATCGACACTTGTTATAAATGTATCGACACTTTTTAGTGCACTTGGTTTTGAAATACATTCTGGAGAAAAAGTATCGACACTTGTTATATTTGTGTAGATACTTTTTGTACACCTGTTTTCTCAAAAACCGATATATTTAGACTGTTTACATGAATAATTTACCTATTACATTATAATTATGTTTTTCGATGTTTTCGGGATCGACACTTGTTTTAAATGTATCGACACTTTTATGTGCACTTGGTTCTGAAATCCATTCTAGACCAAAAGTATCGACACTTGTTCTATTTGTGTCGATACTGTTTGTACACCTGTTTTATCAAAAATCGGTATATTTAGACCGGTTATATTGCTAATTTACCTATTACATTATAATTATGGTTTTCAATGTTTTTGGGATCGACACTTGTTATATATGTATCGACACTTTTTAGTGCACTTGGTTTTGAAATACAATCTGGAGAAAAAGTATCGACACTTGTTAGATTTGTGTCGATACTTTTTGTACACCTGTTTTCTAAAAAACCGGTATATTTAGACATTTTACATGAATAATTTACCTATTACATTATAATTATGTTTTTCGATGTTTTCAGGATCGACACTTGTTTTAAATGTATCGACACTTGTTTTATTTGTGTCGATACATTTTGTACATATATTTTCTCACAAACCCGTATATTTGAAAAAGGTAAGTAAGTGTTACCTTAGAAATACATTATGGACAAATTCATTATGCACATTATCACTAATATTGATATTTGAAAAAGGTAAGTCGTTACCTTAGAAATGGAATTTGATGTTTTCTCCCGATGCATCCATTGAGTAAGTTGTTTTTAGGATGGATGGAATTTTGGTTTAGGACTAAAATTTACATTTAAATTCAAACTCTAATTATAAATGAAATGAAAATGAAATGCCATGTTAAATTGAACATGGAAATTGCATAATTGATTCATACTGTGTAATCAAACCAAAACATACATACACAATAAATTTATAGACAACAAAGTTCAAATAATGTACCTACAACGAAATTAATCCGATGGAAAAGGGTTATCGCTAACGAAGTCCGTAACATTAGGCGCCTTCAACAAAATTTCCAAATACTCGCGTATTTTACCACCTTTTGCTGAGGACATAAATAAATAATTTCAATTATCAAACTAATCATGTGCAATTTTACTAACAAGAAACTAAATTTTTTTTTGATAAGGAACAAGAAACTAAATGAGCATAATCAGGAATAAATTTGTGTCATACTTAGAGCATCGTTGTCCGAATGGGAAGCAACGTCGAAAGAATGTGGACATATGTAATTATTTATCTAATAAAAAACATAAATTGTTAATCAATCAATCTATG